GCACAGGATGGACAAAACAGCGTAAATTAAAAGTCTCGCCGCCGTTTTGTATCTTTTCTATTCTATTCGCGCCACTTTGTTTTCTTTTTTTTTTCTTTTCCCCCCTTCTTTCTCATTTTTGTTCCTGTTTTTTTTTCTTTCCTTTTCCCCCCTTAATTCTCCTCTCCTACCTTACCTTTTTTTCCCCCTCTTTCCACTCCTCGTTTTCTTCTTTATCTTCCCCTTCCCTTTTTACCTCTCTTCACGCGTTTGCACGTGTTCTCTCTTGTTCGCCTCTTTCTTATTTTCTTTCTTATTATTTTCTTTCCGTTTCTTTTTTATTATTACTATTATTATTATTATTATTATTATTATTATTATTATTATTTCTTTTTTTTTATTCATTTTATTATCGTTTGCTCGTTTTTTTCTTTTTTTTTTTTGAAACTCGTTGACATTCGTTGGACATGTTCTCTACTCGCTTGCATTCTCCTCCTCCCTCCCCCTCACCCCTTCCTTCTCTTCTCTTTCTTTTCTTTTTTTTTTTTTTTAATCCACTTCTCACTCTCGCTCACTAGTTTTTCCTAGGCCTGCCTCTTTTCCAAAAGCGAGTTTTTTCTCCGGCCTTTTCGCTCGCCCTTTCGTCCTTCGTCCCTCTTCGCGGGACTTCGTTTTTCTCGCGTTGTAAAACTTATAATCGACTCGACTATATAATTATATATATATATATATATATATTATATATATATACGTAATTTTATATATCGACTAAACTGACTCGGTCGCGGCGCCGGAATCGCTCGAAGGGAAACGGAGAGGCTCTTCAGAGGAACGGTTCTTCTTTCTCGCCTCTTTATATCTATGGATCGGCTCTCTATCCTCCTTCTAGTTCGAGCCCCTTCTTTTAATAAGTATTCGTAGTATTATATAGTCTTTTTCTTTTTTTCTCTCTCTCTCTCTTCTTTTTCTCTCTCTCCAACTCTCTGTCTTTGGCACCGTGAAATTTCTCCCTTACGAGCGGCTATCTTCTTGTCTTTCGCATTCTTTATCTTTCGGCTTCTTCCGGCCCGCGATCAACCCCTTTTTTACTCTTCTCTCTCTTTTTCTTTTTTTTTTTTTTTTAGTTAGCACCTTCGTTATTCGACTTTTCGTCTCACGTTTGAATACGTAATACACACAGCAGCAAGTGCGCCGTAAATTATTAGCTAAATGACTAAATTAGTTAGTTTTCTGACTTAACGGAAGGGAAAACTGGCCTCGCAAGGGTCGAAGACGCGTCTTCTTCCTTTCTTTCTCGTTCATCGTTCGTTCATCGAACACTCGCCAGACATTCCTTGGTTCTTAACCGTTTCTTACCGCCTCCTTTTTTTCCTTTTTTTTTTCCTTTCTTTTCGCGGGCGCGAAATCAAATCTTGCGACAATTATCAATCGTCCTCGGATGTTACGAAAAGTTGCGCGTGGAATCCATGGATGGGTGAAAGATCGACTTGAACTTGGTACGAAACCGCGGTCGATCTGGGATCGTTCGGTTTTTGCGTTCGACGATGGAAAATTTTTAATCGTACAATTTTCTTTTTCTTTTTTTTTTATAAATATCAAGTATCAAGCATCGACGTCAGTTTCGTAAAGTTTAATAGTTCAGTTTTGAAATTATAATTAAGAAACTTTTAAGTCTGACAACCGAATGAAAAATGTGTTATTTCTGAATTATAAAGCAATAGTCCTTTTTTACTTAGTTATATAGATACGTTCTTTGTCTATCTAACGGTAACCAGTAAAATCGCACGTTATTTATATAATAATATCGAATATCATAAAATGGGAAGCTTGTAAAAAGAGTCAAGATTTATTAATTATTTCCTTAATTATTTGTTCATAGAACGAGAAGCGTCCAAGCAATTTGTTAGTTAATATTCGAAAAATATACACACGAGATATATATATATATATATATAGACGTTATAATTCAGAAATAATATCCCATCCTTTAAAAATTACCACGATCGGACGCAAAGCGTGAACAAATCTCCCAGCAGTGTCCGCTCTCGGTTTCAAGTTTGAGCAACGATCACGAAATCACAGCGTTCGCTAAAACGAGGCAAGTTGTGTACAAGAATAAAATATACAAGAACCTTCTGTTTACGAATCCTTCACAGCTATATATATATATATATATATATTTTATATATATATATATCGTTACTCCACGCGATCCGAAATGGACAAGGAAAAACGTCGCGAC